GTCTAAAAAAAGCTGAGAAACAATAATGGTGATAGCCGCCCAAACGAGAACGTGGTTTAGTGACTCTTGCTGCCGTACCGAAGGGCCCAGTTTCGAATCTCGGAGAAGTCATGGATATAATTTGTTGTTCCTTTTATAGGAGAGAATATTCCCTTCATAATCCAACCTATTAGTTGCTTCCATAATAAAAAGACCACCCATTCCTATCTTAGTAGTGGACAATGTCTATCAATGGTTGAGCCTGCGACAGACACAAATAAATAAATAAAATCTGAAAGCTTACAGATTTTATACTACGCCAAAAAAAAGCGTTTTTTTTTTATAACTTTTGTGTGTTACCTTTATTTGTTAAATACCATGTTCTTCACACTTAAGCCATAAAATTCACTTCAGTAGCAATACCACAAAATATTTAAAAAAAGCATAACTTTAAATTTTCCGATAGACAGTCTCGCGTGCTTGGAGATAAAAATGTTATTTTCTGTACAGTGTTGCCATTGCTAGCTTTGAAAATCGTTGAGTTTGTTCTTTAAATATAATGCAGGGCGATAATATTTGGTAGGAACAATTTGCAAAGTGGAAAATGCCGTTTCGAAACTAATAGCCCTTCTGCGTTACCTCCCCTTTGGGCTGAAGAAAAAGAAGATGGTGTCAATACTTGATAAGGGAGCTACTGTTTCTTTTTACAACATTATGTAATTTAACTGTACAATATAAAACAAGCAGTTCTAACGACTATTTTACTCAAGTTTAAACTTAATGAAATTAAGACGCAGTAACACGCCGAACAAATACTAATTCAGAAGTCAAACAACAAAAATCAGCGTTATATTTTCAAATTTTCACAGGACTAGTTTCGATGGTTTTTACCGAACCATCATCGTCAGCTGCAAAAGCGCAAATGAATGGGGAAAGCGAATAAAAATTCCGTAGCATTTAACGTTTATTCAACGTTATAGTTTGACTTCTGAATCAATGAAATTGTTTAAGTTCTCCTATTAATATTATTCTTTAATGTTATGAATCATTTAGTTTCTTCATATTGTTACGAATTTGGTATTTAAAAAGCTAATGCTAGTTCAATTATAAATTAAATGGTTTTTATTTCTCGCGCAGGGCAGCGCGTGATGAATATTAAAAGAAAGCTAAGCCGGAAAATTGAAAATACAAGAGCGCGTGCATTGAATAAATAAATATCTCTTTTTGATTTCGAGAAAGTACTAGAAAATTCTAGCGCGTGATTTTTAAAATCTTATAAAAGGAGGAAAACAGCTCAGTTCGTGGTAGTTGCTTAGTTTGTTGTTCTTTAGAAAACTGCTCTTGTTGATTGTAGCGAATTCGCGGCTTAGCTTTCTTTAGCTGTTTTGAATTACGTTCTATTGGACATTTGAGTAGTTAAAAGATAACTACTGTGAGATATTGTAATACTGCATGATAATTGGAGAAAATTTAATCATATTCGTTGTGATAATAATAAATTTTTGTTCATTTTTCTTCGGATTTGTGCATTCATTTCGTAACGAACCCGTACGCACGCAACAATATGTAATTCTTCTTATTCTTCATGTGGTTTTTGCTCTGAATATTGGTTTAATTCCCGTAAGCAACGGAATTTGTTCTTCATATTAAACCTCTTAAAAATATACGTAAATCGTACGTTTTTCTGTTAATTATAATATTGGTTACTCTTCTTTCCCGTGCTTTTTAACTATTTTTGATGAGCCGTGATTTTTAATTAACTTTGAAATCATTTGTGTATAATTCCGATAAATCGGGATTTGACTTAGTAATAACTATAATTTTTAAAGTTAAGAAATCTGGGAGATCTAAAAGGGACAAAAATGTTTTGTTATGGCTTAGAAACGTTCAGAAACTTTGTTAAGAGAGAAAAGAGAATAAATCGAATAATTATTAGAATGCGGTTTAACTGATAATATTGTATAATTATATGTATTATGCTTAAATTTATTTTAATAAAAGTAAGTGAATAGTAATGAAGAGCTTAACTTTTCCTCCTCTCAGTGTGCTGTCCTTAACAGAAAAAATTCAAGGACTTTGCTTATGATAACAATAAACAGCAATAAGAACACAGGAAAATCAAATTCCCTCAAAAGCGGAAAACATACGAGAAGAGGAAAAAAATTGACAGTATTATCGAATTACGAGTGCAGCAAGTTTCTCTGCACGTACGCTAGCGCATTAGTAAATATCAGAAAATTATATGAAATTGTTTATGAATTCAGCAAAAGGTAGTTAAATAATATCAGATATATAATATATGAAAAATTAAACAAGTAGCATTAAACGCAAGTAAGTGTCCCCGTTATATTTCTGAAAATACGTTTGAGCAGTATGCGATAATGCTAACACAAAAGTAAAAAAAAAAAAAAAATAAAATAAATTGACCAGTTTTTGTTATGGGAATGTAATTTGAGGTTAATATTACTTGCTCTGCATTTTAAAATTTGTATAATACAGCTATTTCTCAGGTACAATTAATAATTGTTTATCGCTCTAATTGCATGAATAACTTGCATACATTAATACGTTTTCTGTTTTATATATATTATCAAACAGGAAACATAATAAAGTACGCAAGTTAGTAAATAACAAAGCTTATCAAATTCAATAAATGGCAAATATTGTCTTAAAACAGTGCAATTAGAAGTAACAAATAAAATATAATTAAAAAAATGTAGCTAAAAATCTTCTTTTAATACCAAATTTCTTTTCATTTAAAGTAGCATAGGCATTTCAGATCTGAGGTATTTCTCCTGCTTTCTTAGCATGCCTTCGTGGTGTAATGGTCAGCACCCTCGGCGCGTACTCGAGAGGTCCGTGGTTAGAGTCCCGGCGAGGGCATAGCCCATTTTCCATGTCTCCTGTTTCGAAATAACCTACTAAAAGCTGGTGAATATGGCGATTGAGTCCCCTAATACCTAGTCGCCCTTTAAAAGGGGGAGTATATGAGGTATTTCTCCTGCCTTCTTAACATGCCTTCGTGGTGTAATAGTCAGCACGTATACATCATATACATCGTTTCAGAATTTCAGATACGTTAGAAGGTTGCAATAAGGTCCTGCGATTTTCACATTGTCTTGGGGAAAGCGAAAATTCTGTAGCATTTAGCATTTACTCAACGTTATAGTTTGGTGTTTGGTTTCTTTACTAATTACGGCAAAGCACTCGAAAACTATCTGCCTAAGAGGAGGGATACCTTCTTCTCTAAGGGAAGCTGACTCTTATACACAAAAAATAAGATATAAAAGCCTAAATATAAAGACGTACGTTAAATATAAAGACGGTTAAAGTAGAAAAAAGCGTCATGTTATAAGGTATTTCTCCCACTTTCCTAGCGTGTCTTCGTGGTGTAGTGGTTCTGCACTCTGGGCCGGCATTCCAGAGGTCCGTGGTTCAATTCCCGGCGAAGGCGGTTGCTAATTTTTCATCTTGCCTGCTTCCAAAAATACCTAATGTCTCTACAGTGGCGCCCGAACTAAAAGGGTGTTGGATGAGGTTTCTCCACACCCAGGATTTGGCGATTGGGTCCCTTAAAAACCCCAGTCGTCCTTTAAAAAGGAGAGTATACAAGTTATTTCTCCCATTTTCCTAGCGTGCCTTCGTGGCGTAGTGGTTCTGCACGCTGGGCCGGAATTCCAGAGGTCCGTGGTTCAATTCCCGGCGAAGGCGGTTGCTAATTTTTCATCTTGCCTTCTTCCTAAAAATCCTAATGTCTCTACAATGTCAAGACTCTGAGAATAGTTTAAAATGATCCTAGTAATATATGCAGACAATCAGATCAAGGTCCAAATCGTGCCACATCAGACACAAGACCGTTATTCGGCAACGATAGCTAAAAGGAACAAAACCTGATCAGCCTAGATTGCAAGAAAGTTCGCTTTTGTTACAGTAACTCGACTACGTCAATTACTGTGAGTGACAAATTGCATAATAGAGGGCTCTATGCAAGGAAACTCCTAACTTCTAACTCATTAACTCATAACTCCGAAATGCGACCTGGTAGTACTGGTGCAGAGATCATTATGACTAGAGTGTCAAGGCTTGGAGTCCAGTTTTCTTTACTGATAAGTCTCGTTTTTGTTTAGCGAGGGATTCCAGACATGTTACAGATCGGAGCGAATAAAACACATGCAATAAACCTGGAAACATCCGAGAACGACATCAGACAAAGGTGGTGGAATTATGATATGGTAGTGACCATCCATTTTAATGCGGGCTCTGACATATGCATTTTTATCAGCGCTATTATAAATATTGAAATAGACAGTGATGAGGTTTTTGAGCCTTATGTCACATTGTTGAGGAGTTGAATGGGTAATAACTTCCTCCTAATGGACGACAATGTTCATCCCTATCTCTCTGCATTAGTGACCTGCTATCTTGAGGATAAAGAAAACCAGCGAATGAAGGGATCCGCATATTCTCCGGGCTTAAATCCAAAGAACATGTGTGGGACGTACTATGAGGCCATTGCATCACTGCAGATCCCATTTAGTATTCTGCGGGATCTTACAAGTACTGTTAATTGTGAATACACATTGCTACCGAAAGAAATCCTAGACAATCTAATACACAGCATGGAAAATGGATGCAAAACTTGCATTTTAGTCAGAGAGACTATGCAGCTTATTAATTTTTTTAATGTACCGCTAAAAAGTTGTAAGAATAAATTTGCCCTACCTCACTTTGCATTACACTTCCTATCTTCTTATTTCATTTAAAGTTTTGTAGAAATAAGCAATTCTGTATTTTGATGATTATTTTAGACATAAGATAAAGTTCTTGCGCAACTTCCAGTTGCAGAATAATTCAAATGTTAGGAACTTTTATAGTTCTCGCCTTAGTTTTCCCCTTTCCTAATCTTCTCTTTGAGGTGTCAAGTTTTCCGTTAACCATTTTAGATTATTTTAGACTTTACTTAAGTTTTCTTTGCTGTTGCTTATTACCTTGTTACCTGCATTACAGAAAAGAAACGCAAGAACAACCAGAAAAAATTCTTTATTATAAATTATAAATTTGACGCAAGTGAATTTTTTTTGGTTCCAGAGTGGAATGAACATCATCAGGTTCTTCATTATCCATGAAGTTCTTCAATTATCTTGGCTAACATCAGTTGATCATCTTGCAGTACTAAGGCGTCTACACATTGTTTGAAGCCGCTGCTGCTGAAACAGTTGGACCTAGGAAAGAGATTAGACAGTTGCGTAATTAAGTCGAGCAGTTCAGATAAAAAACAACTTCAATTCCTATCTCAATCTTATTCACAATGAGACAAGGCATAAACAGACAAGCAGAACATCAAGATTATTTTACTATTAGTAATACGGATATAATCTTGACCCACTGCATTGTATAAAGATTTTATAAAACGCAATATTAAAGGCAGAGAAATTTCGTAGGACAATTCGAATGCACTGTCCGGTTAATAGAACTACGTGGCGCGGGGGTAACTACATTCGTAAATACATTTCAAAATGCATTGTAGGAATATCGTAGAGGTCATGAAAATAATAATACACGCTTAAGGAGAGTCCTTGATGTATGCATATTTGAATTCATAAGTACCTATAATAATTCTGTACGATTTGCGTTGTCGAATAAGTTTCAGAGGATAGATACATAATTAGTTTCTGATGCTTCCTAAGCTATTGTCACATTTAACAACATTGTAAGATTTAAATATGTCCTTTTATTGGTGAATGCAAAAAACTGAACTGTTTTGGTTTTAGTTCCTTATCGCGTATCAGTAGAAACTGAAAGTGTGTTTTGCAGATTACTAGTTTCAGTCCTTGAATTTTTTTTAATACTGTTATAAAAATTATCTTGTTTTTAATTACTCGCAGTACATCTTGGACAATGCATTATTGTAAATTTTTGCAATCTAATCTGTTTCATTGTATTTTGTTTTCTTGCCTTGCTATAATATTATACATGGTTTTTTACCTCTCGCCAACCCTATATACATAAATGTGGGAGTAATGATTTCAGTCGCAGAAAATTCGATAGCAAATATTCAGTAATTAAGTACGAACTAGGGTCCCAACAGCACGGTTTTACTATTATTCAAATAATGTCTAGCTGTCTGAATGTGCGTGATAATTTTTTTTTGCCCACGATCAGTCTTATATCAAACTTATAAAAATTCATGTTTTCCATTCATAGAATGAGTTGATTAAATTTTGGTTATAATTGAACAACTGGAAGTGATAGTTGCTTGAAGCCCGTAATAGTTTTTAATAGACAACCACAAGTGGTAATTTATTGAAGGCCATAAAATGTTTTAATGAAAAACTATATCAAAATATAATACATCATTTTTCATGTTTTTAACTTTTATAGAAGTTGGCATAACATATTCGATTTTTGGCTAAAACTGATTAACAGGAAGGATACTTTACTTGAAACTCTGAACAGAATTTTGTGGAAAAATATAATATGATATTGTTACGAATTTGGTATTTAAAACGCTAATGTTAGTTTAATTATAAATTAAATGGTTTTATTTCTCGCGCAGTGCAGCGCGTGACGAATATTAAAAGAAAGCTAAGCCGGAAAATTGAAAATACAAGAGCGCGTGCATTAAATAAATAAATATCTCTTTTTGATTTCGAGAAAGTACTGGAAAATTCTAGCGCGCGTGATTTTAAAAATCTTATAAAAGGAGGAGGAAAACATCTCAGTTTGTAGTTAGTAGTTGCTTAGTTTGTTGTTGTTCAGAAAACTGCTGTTGTTGATTATAGCGAAATCGCGGATTAGCGTTCTTTAGCTGTTTTGAATTACGTTCTATTGTACATTTGAGTAGTTAAAAGATAACTACTGTGAGATATTGTAATACTGCATGATAATTTGAGAAAATTTAAGCATTTTTGTTGTGATAATAAAAAAATTTTGTTCATTTTTCATCGGACTTGTGCATTCATTTCATAACGAACTCGTACGCACGCAGCAATATAATCCGAAACTTCTAAGATTTAGTAATTAAAATATATACAGTCATGATTGAGAACAATAAACGACATATTAGACTATATATAGTAAACCGGAAGTGGTACTTTCCTTGGAACAATTAACATATTTTCGTGGAAAAAAAGAAAATCACTATAATAAAAATTTTAAGTATAAAATAATGCAGCACATTTTAAGGCTGTTTCGATTATATCTAGACATGATATTTATTTATATAAATCCGTAGAATGGAATTATTTTTATAAAAGCCTTTTATTTGCAGAACTTCAAAATTCTTGTAACCATGATACCAAAAATGCTCCTGTTATTCCAGCGCACTGTTAATGATGACGAAGCACAGGAGTAAATAGCAAATTCGAAAACATTATTGCTTTACATCTTACTGATCCCGGAGCGCGTGGTAGTTACTATTCAGCACATAATTCCGAAAACTATATCAGTAACCATCATTGTTTACTGATACCTAAATATAGGGGGGGGGTACGGGCAGATCAAAATTAATTTAGATTTTTTAAAACCACAGAAGTAACATTAGAAGAACATTAAATTATGATATTCGTTTCAAAATTTCGTGTTGCAGACCTTCCTGTTCATTGGAATAACAAATTAGATTTTTTTTTTACAAACGACCAATCGGAAGTGATAATCTCATTGTTATCTAAAGCATAAAAATCGCGGGAAGTCATGCGTTAGCCACAATGGATTTTTTTTATTTGTTTATTTGAATTCTTTGTAATAATTTTAGCGTGAAATTTAATTTAATGGAATTTGTGCCACGTATTGTGTTTATAAGTGTTTATTTCTCATCTAAAGTTATACATCTTGTAATTCGCAATCAATCAGCGTTTAAATTATGAAAATAGTATTTCAAGATGAAGTTGAAATACAAATTAAAAATTCTCCTGAGAAACTTTGGCGACAATGTTTATCGCCAACTTGAGGCCTTTGGTATTTTTTTTAATGTTTGGCGACTTTCTAGAAATTTCCAAAAGAATTTTTTTGAAGGCTGTCGGAACCATTTTTATCAAAGTTTCCAGAAGGATGGTCACCCTATATAAGCAGCGCTACTGAGTTGTGGAAGTCAGTTATTTTAGAGAATTAGTTCGGTTCAGAGAATTCAGAATTTGTTCTGTAAGTGGTGTCATTAATTTGAGATATTTTTCGTATATCAAGGAAAGCTTGCTTTATTTCCGTATTCTCTTCGGGCTATTACAGTTGTACCCTGCGTTCTTCATCTGTTTAATCCTAATCCTGTGATGTTTTTAACAACAATTTCTTATATCCAGTTTTTGTAAAGGCAATTTTACTAAGTGCAGTGATTCTCTATGTAAGCAAGCTGGGAAACATAGCGTAAGGTTCCATATGACAAATTTTAGAATTTTTTTATAATGTCCCAAAGAAAATTTTTAGCAAAACTTAGTGAAACCTGTCTCAGAAATTACGGTTCCAAACGCGCATGATCATTTTCGAATGTGAACAGCTTGAGAGCTGATGCTTGATATCTGTGTTTATTTGCGTCCTAAGAAGACAGGACGCTTTCAGAAGTGGGCATTTACAATAGGTGGTCGCCATGAGATATGTCTCTATAATTTTCAAATTTGAAAGAGATATAGAATAGAAGGACAAAGAAAACTATACTTGAAATAAAAAAAGGTTGTTCTCTCAAAATTAAAAATAAATAAAAATAATTAATAAAAAATATGAAAGGTTTCAGATTTTAAATTACGTCCAAAGCGGCGTTTTTTTAACATTTTGTGTGTTACTTTTATTTATTAAATATCATGTTCTTTCCACATAAACTATAAAATTCAGTTCAATAGCAATGTCGCAAAAAAGGTTTTAAAAAGAGACATCTTTAAAATTTCCTATACACAGTTCCGCGCGTTGGAGATAAAAAGTTTTTTATTTTATTTTTTTCTCTCTCTCCCGTAGAGTGTTGCCATTGCTCGGTTTGAAATCGTAGAGTTTGTTAATTAAAAATTCGTTAAAGTTTTACAAAATATTAAATCGATAATAAAACATATTCCGAATTTCAAATTCGGTCTTCCACATGCCCATATTCGTAGGATGATTACGTCATTCAAAATTCGGTGGCTCTATGTACCGTTGTCTTATCACAATGCGAGAAATATACATACATTTATGCAGATTTTTCATTATTTAATTTCTTCAAATATAATGCAGGACATTTGGCGGCAACAGTTTGAAAAATGAAATGGACTCTTATAGTAAAATAACGCAAAATCGCAAAACGAAAACAATAGTCTTCCGGGACAAAGTCCCTTTGGACTAATAAAACTATTATTTCATTTTAATATTATATTTTATTAAATATCTTTACATGGTATTAGATATGCGTGAACTATTTGAATGTAATAATATCCATTTAAGACTAAAGCTCAAAGCTTGTCTTTAGCTTTTACGAAAGATACTGTTCAGTTTCATTGTGTTGGTCCGTGAATTTCGGTTGTCGCACTAATGGATTAGGGTTCGCATCCTGTTTAAAATCTTGAGGTTTATGATGTCTTTTTCTGTCCTTCCGGACATAATGGCACTTTTTTAGATTGGTTTGTTTGATTACAGAGAAACATGCGAGGACAGGAGTCTGTGTAAGAGTAGAGATGCTTTCGTAGAGGTCTTTTTAACGAAACTGGCTCCTATCCGCGTAACACGTGGGAAAAACCTCGAAAAAGCTTTTGCAGTCAACCTGTTCGCCGAGATAAATCTTTTGATATACTTTACCATTTCGATCACGAATGGCAAAATGATATAAAGTGTGTTTCAGCAAATCCGTTACAAACTTTCAGGAGAGACAGAATACACCTAGACGATGGAAAATCATACAACCATGCATGGTCGAAAAGGCTTTCCTGGCACGGTAGTGACAAAACAAAACACAAGAAAGGAAGAACGTGAACAGGAAGAGGAAACGTGTTTATTATGCTTAGTACAGCATAAATCAAGAAATAAGAACAAAAATATTCAACGATCGTCATCAAAGAAGGTATTCGAAATTACGACCCCGAACCCCGATGTTAAGCCTCACATCTCCAGCACATGGAAGATCTGATGTTCTTGAAAATACCGGGCATATCCGTGACCTTCGAGAAGGAGAAGGCCATGACACTTAATAAACATGGCGGAGCTTTCCGTCCGATGTTACGTCGGAAAGTCATCTGGATTTTTAAATTTTCGTCGGAAATATAACTTTATC